AGCAAGATATAGAAAAGATATTGCTTTTGCCTGAGTTTCATGAAGCTGATATCAATCTTTTATTTCATAAACGTCAGGCTGGTTATTGCATTAAACGTAGGCTTTGGTGCATTAAAAGTGGCAGTGACAGGAATACAAATAAGAGAATCCCCAAGGATACTAAGCAGGGGCCTGGGGAAGGACTGGCTTCCCTCCAACACCCAGAGAATGATATTCAGGAAAGGTCACGCAGCAGCCAGACTTTGGAGATAAATCTAAGCTCAACTGACTCCATGAATAACTCAGAGGTACAGTTTTTGCCATTGTTTTTTTCTCAGCCAGAAGAGAAAAGACAAAGGATGTGACTGAGCCTCAGAGGGAGGTCTGGATGTGGAGAGGTCTAAAAAGGCCCGGACTTGCCTCAGAAGATCTGGAGTTTACCTCCCAATTCAGCCGCCCCCAATAGCGCCCTCTGGAGGCCTCAGTTAGATCTGCAAGATAACAGCATTTTTGAGCACTCTTTCTAAAAGTCCTTTCTGGCTTGAAATTTTAAGGACCTAGTACATACCTATAGGGAGCAATCAGTGACATCTGGAAAATACTCTCCAAATACCAGTTGTCCTGATGCCAATCACAACCTTGAGAGGAACGAAGGGTAGAGCTGAGTAAAGCGAGTTTTACCTAAACTGATGGACGAGCAGTTAGCTAACCAACTGATAGCTCTGGTCCTAGGTCACAGGTCCTCTGGCTTCCAACAACATGTGCTCTATCCTATCCGTCACTGCCTTTCAACAAATAGAATATAAGGCTTGTTTAAAGGGTACGTTCAGGCAAAACGGGGAAACAGTGCTTTTGAGCTCTTCAGGAAGAATTTGGATCTGGGATCAAACAATAAAATGGAATGGGGTTGTCCATCAGATCAGGATTAAGAATGGAGTTTGCCTACTTCGGAGTATATACTCAAAAGAATTGAAAACATGTCTTCAAACAAATCTTTGAACACAGATGCCATTAGTGCCAGGGGATAAGAACTTTAGGCAGTACATCTGGATAATTTCTCCATTGGCAAACTCTTGACTTCCAAAGTCCCAAGTGCCTACTCTTGCCTTTCCTCATTACTATTCCCTTCAGGTACCTCATACCCTGGTCAGACCACAGGACAATTTTTCCTGCCCTACACTTTCCTGAAATTATATCCCTGCTCACACTATTCCCTCGGTCTGTATTGGATTCTATGCCTTCATCTAAACATATCTCCACAATTCTGAGAGGCATTGTCTGATGCTTCCAGATGGAAGGGCGTCTCTCCCTTTCTCGTCTGTGTACTTTCCTTCTTTCCTATAATTATTCCTGAACTTGGCTCAACTCCCCTCTTAAACAGTACATTCCTTTAAGGCTAGAGGAATGTAGATTGTCACAGCACATGGACTTAGGGACTCAAACCAATCTTATCTTGATCTTTACAGTGCCAAGAGTACTTAACTGCCATCTCACTTTGGATATTAAACAGCAAATGCACGATAATATTTGTTGAGTGTTATTTCTTTACTTATTCATTTTATTTTAAAGCCACTTCAACATTAAAGCTCTTTTTCAATATTTATTCATTAATTTATTTTACAACTCGCTTTTGAAGTAATATTATGTAATACCAAAACAAATTTACAAAATAGCCATAGACTTCTATGAATATTTTTAGGGAATTTTCTTCTACAATTTTCTAAGGAAAAAAAGGAGGTACTAAAGATCAAGACTCAGGATCTCTTTCCCAAATCACCAGGAGAACCTTAGCCTTCAAGAATGTTCCTTGTGACAGGTTTTTAAAGCTCCCAGACGAAAACATGCTGAACTGAAAGGAAATACTTTCTTTTCATTGCTTTAAACCCTTATTCACTTGACTACTAAAACACATACCTAATCATAGCACATATTTAAAGTCATGAAATATTTTCAGTGCACTGCCTGAGGCAAATGATGTATTGTATATTCATCCCACAGTTCAGTAAATTCTGGATACAAAGACGTAAACCGGTGCTCTCAAGTGATCGTGTCAGCGCAAACAAACTTCCCTTAAAAAACAGTTCTTCCTCTCCAGAATTTGATTTTCTTTCTGAAAGATGGTATTCTTTAGATATGTCTCAGGTGACATACATAAATCTAGGCTACAGATCTTTCCTACAGTCATCAAAGTACATTCTGCCCTGTGACCGAATCACTTCCGCACAGGTGAGGCTCTTTCTGCTGTTCCTTGCAGGTTAGAGCTGCCCCCTAAAAGCCTTACGTCCAAGTAGGCATTTGCTAAAGGAAATAAAAATTCTCCATTGAATTTGCCAGAGTTCTGATCAACCCCCCACCACTGTTTTGATGTCTCTCCGGAAGTGCTGGCTACCTCAGGGAGTTAGCGGGTAGCAGACATGAATCACAATGTGGCGTGCCAAGCGCCTCTCTTTGTCAGAGACTGAGAAACTGGTTTAGGAACCTCTGTATTTTATCCATTTGCTTCTGTAAATCCTGTGGTCTCTGCAACTTTGCCTTTTCCAGCAATTCTACCACCAGTATCTTTAGGGCTTTTTGTCCCTCTCTCACATTGTACAGTAGACCACTAGAATGAATGGAAGATTATTTGTGAAACTCTGTTACCATGTGTGAGGTACTGCGCTAGATGCCTAGAGATTAAATCGCGAAAACAAATATGGCCGCTTACATGGTGGACCTCACAGTCTAGTGGGTGAAGACAGACTGTCAGTCAAATCATGACACAATAAATGGCTTACAGATGCCGTAAGCGCTACATAGAACAGCATGTACTGTTGAGGTGGTAAGAGGGTTTAAAGGAGGCTCTGAGCTGTTCAGGAAGGACAGGGATCACTTCCGCGAGATAGTGAAGCACTAGCTGAGAACTGACTTGTGAGTGGGAACTGACAGTGGAGGTGAGCATTCCAGGCAGAGCTAGTGGCATGTGCAAACGGCCTGTGGGAAGGAGTCTGGAAGTTATGAGGGGCTGAAAGTCAGGTTGTAGGGCTAGAGCAAAGAGAGTTAGAGAGCAGGGAGAGAGAGAGACCTAGAGAGGAAGGACCATGTCAAGTCATACAGGCCCTTAGCTCTACATTCCAGGGTCCTTATTCTATGAGTCTCAGAAGTCAAAGGAGAATTTTAAGCAGAGGGTTGACCTAATTGGATTTGGGTTTCAAAACCAGTGTGAAAATTACTGATACAAAAGGAGGAGAGGGCAGCAAATGGAGGGGGAAGAAATAGTAACCAGCAGATTAATATTAACAATGTTTTCATTAGTGAGCCTTTGCTGTGTCCCACTCTCAGTCCTAAATTGACCATCTAGTCTTAGAGAAGCAATCCATTTGAAGTCATCTCCAAGTAGATCCTTGACAACCCAACTGCCGTATTAACTTTCCGGCCTTCAGAGGTACTAATGGAGGGGAGAAAGAGCATCCTCTGTGGCCCGCTCCTAGAAAGTGTGGTGCACCTGCTGCACTAACTCACTCGGTTTCAGCATGAGATGAGCTCAGAGGCCACCTGAGTATGCAGTTCCCTGGGCCTCTGGTAACTACAGTGTCACTGTGCAGCCAGCTCCAAACCGCATTCCTGTCCCGGAAGGCCATGACTGAGTGAGGACCTCAGTCGCATGCCACCTCACTCTTGCAGGAATTCTGAGCATGTGGCTTTAAGTTATAGGTCCATCACATTACTTTTGTATGTGAACCAATCCCTCTCTTTGCTTTCCCTCTAGGGTGTTTTTAATGACAATGATTCCTCACTATAGCCTTGAGCTTAATACATAATAGGGGACTGTCTGACAAGTGAGGAAGCTTTTTTCCTTTTTTTTTTTTTTTTTTTTTTTTTTGACAGAGAGAGAGAGGGAGAGAAGGAGAATCCCAAGCAGGCTTCATGCCATCAGCACAGAGCCCAGTGAGGGGCTCCATCTCACAAACCTCAATATCATGACCTGAACCGATATCAAGAGTCAGACGCTTAACCCACTGCACCACCCAGGTGCCCCAAGGAAGCTTTTTAAATGAGAACCCCAACAACTTGTGCACTTAATCATCTTTATGCGGATGATACAACTAAATTTGGGACTACTGTTTATTTAGAAAGACTCCTTAAATATCAAAGACATTCTACCTGACGTCCTGAACCTTTATCGTCAATCCTATCTTCCTAATGAAACTAAATAGTCTGGTCCTGGCGGGCTCACTGATTGTCAAACCTGCTATGTCCACAAACCCAAGAGTGACTCTATAGATGTCCCCTTGTCCTTTCCCTTGGTTGAAATTCCACCAGTCATCAGGGTCCATATTTCTAACAATACCTCTTCTGTTGAGCTCTTCCTGATTACTGCCCCTGAAGAGGCCATGATAGCTTTCTTCTCTAAATCTTCCAAAGCTTCAACAATGACCATCTACTGCCTGCTGGTGGTGTTTGCAGAGTGCGCTCCATGCGTTGAATGTAACTGACATGCAGATGGTCCCCAAGAGCCCCAAACTTAATCCCAGTCCTCCCAAGGCTGTCTCAGCAATGCAGGGAAATATGTTTCTCATTTTTGAGCTACTGTTTCCATCAGCAAGGCTGGGTCTTCTTGTTGCCAAGATAATCATAAACAAACCTACAAAAATGGTTTGCAATCCCATACATGTAAATGTGTGAAAATCACTGACGAGAGTAACGGGTATGTATCTGCTACTGTATCCTGAAAACTTACTTATATAGGTAAGCAGCTCTTTGCTTTTCCTACAGAACTTTGTACTGCTAAGGAATTGGGGCCACTCTGATCCTTGTACTCATAGTACCCGGAGCTATGTCTGGTTGATAGAAGCCCCACAAATATTTGTGATTCTGGTATGTTTTGCCACCATGATGAAAGTACTACATTATAACAGTGTTATCCCTTCCCAGACATATTTCCATTTTAAAAAGGACACCTGCAGAAAATAAAGCTTGTCCTACATCTTTAATAAAGTTGGCTGCTGCTTCTTTGAACCACAGCTATGGGATGGCCCACTCACCTCTCAGAAGATTCTCTGCTCTCCCAGCTCTATTTTGAGTTTGCCAACAGCAGGGACAGAGTCGTGCCTGCATCTGTCAGTCACCTGGCACAGAAGTGAGCAGACAGAAAGAATACAGTAAAGATTTAGTATTTCTGACCATATTATGTGCACAATCTCATAATTGTGGGAGAGAGTACATGGCATTGCCTCTTCCAATCCCAGCTCCAGGAATGGACACTACTGAGCACCAGGCTATCCTATGCCGGAACATTCTCACCCACACTGAAGAAGACACGTCCAGGTCTTCCAAAAGGGCCAGAACTAAGCAGTCAAAAGAGGATCAATAAAACAAGGATTTGGCTCTGTTACTTGTGAACTTGACTTTTTTTACCTACATCATCACCAAGAGATGGTCAGCCCACTAAACCTGAATGCCCTCTTTATCCTGTCAAGGAAAAAGTCCATCTTTGACAGCCCTGCCTGTAGAAATTCATCCTGATACTGAGCCTGTCTTCATGTAACTTCCTACTATTGGAGGAAAAATTAGGTCCTCAATGACAGGGATTTTTGTCTTTTTTTTCTTTGTTTAATTCTTAGTTAACATACAGTGTAGTCTTGGCTTCAGGAGTAGAACCCAGTGCTCATCCCAACAAGTGCCCTCCATAATGCCCATCACACTTTTAGCCCATTCCCCACCTACCTCTCCCCTCCAGCAACCCTCAGTTTGTTCTCTTTTATAAGTGTCTCTTATGGTTTGCCTCCCTCTCTGTTTTTTATCTTATTTTTCCTTCCCTTCTCTTCTGTTATCTGTTGTCTTTTTCAAATTCCACCTATGAGTGAAATCATGTGATATCTATCTTTCTCTGACTGGCTTATTTTGCTAAGCAAATACCCTCTAGTTCCATCCATATTGTTGTAAGTGACAGGATTTCATTCTTTTTCATCACCAAGTAGTATTCCAGTGTGTGTGTGTGTGTGTGTGTGTGTGTGTGTGTGTGTGTATTTACATATAGGTATATATATGTTTATATACATATATGTATGTATGTATATATAATGTATATATATACATATAAAGAGAGAGAAGATATATATATATATATATATATGTATTTAGATATATATATAAAACCCCAGTGTCTAGAACAGAGCCTGGCACAGAGTAGCACTCAATATTTTCAAATGAATGAATGAATGAATAAGTCCTCACTCTGCTTCTCAGAGCCACATGGAATAAGTCTCCCTCCTTCCACATACCATCTTTTTAGACAATGAAGCCCCTCACCTTTCTGCTAAAATTTCTCCAAGACAAATTTCCACACTGCTTCACTATCCTGGTCAGTCTTCTCTGACCACTAAATCAAAGTGCTCAACAGGCTGGCTCAAGGTGGCTTTATCTCTCTAACAAGACTATAGATCCTGTGAGAATGGGGTCACGGTCACAATTAGGTATATAATATGCATTATGCTCACACAGCTTGATAGAGCACCTTGCATCACAGCATACAGTAAGCGTTCAATAAATGCTGATGAATGAAGCTGTTAGCCTCCCTTTAGGTTGGTAGTGCTCATCTGGATTTCCATGGCAAGTTCTCTTGCTTCTTCTTCTTTTCTGTTTTGTCTGTCTTTTCTCCGTAGCATTCACTCTCAATGAACTCCTCCCTCCTAGGACTGATTGGGGCTTATCATTTATTAGGAAATCAACAACAAAACACACTAACTGGGGCACCTGGGTGACTCAGTCAGTTAAGCATTCAACTCTTGATTTCAGCTCAGGTCACAATCTCGCAGTTCACGAATCCAAGCCCTGCATCAGTCTCTGTGCTGACAGCACAGAGCCTGCTTGGGATTCTCTCTCTCTCTCTCTCTCTCTCTCTCTCTCTGCCCCTCCCCTGCTTGTGCTCTCCCTTTCTCAAAATAAATAAAATAAACTTTAAAAAGCCACACACTATAAAGTGGAAAAGTACCCTCTTAACCAAGGTTATTCTTCTCCCTACCCCCACCCCATGCACACGCATAATTCTTCAACGTGTACAGTAGGCGGTAAGAGCCATGGGAGAGAATTAGAATGATCAGGAATGATCAGTGAGACAAAGGCAGAGACTGGAAGAGCATGGATTCCCTCATTCACGAGTTAAGTGAAATCTTTGACACATGTTCTCTTTACATTTGTAAGAAAGTCTTGGCTTCATTTTTATAAATATATCCCTTAACACTTTCTAGAAGTATAGGAGCATAATTGATTAAATAGAGTGATATCCCATGTTTTTAATTAACACAGACTTAGCTTGCTTTGGGAGGTGACTTGGGCCATCATCGAGCGCTGTGGGCCCGGCCCCTGGCGAGGCGAGCATGCGACATTCCTCAAAGAAGGGAAACAGCTTGAGGCTCTGGAGTTGCACCCTAAGCGAGACTGAGCACATATGAACATCCAGGCACTCAGTCTCACTGTGTCACTCTCCCTCCTGCTGTCCTGTTGGCATGAGAAAACTGAAGCTCAGGTGACTTTCCCAAAGCCACTCGATCAGCAATTAGGAGATCCAGGATTTAAACCTAAGTACATGGCTCTGCTATCACAGCCTGTGATCTCAGTCACTAGACCGTGCGAAAGACAGGAACCAGAGACTCAGAGTTCCTGCCACTGGGACAGGAATTGTCCCTCAGACCGGTGACGAAACAGATACAACTTGCCCCTTGCCCCAGGTCCCTGTCTACTGCTATTTAATCCGCATGCTTCCCAGCCTTCGAGCCTCTGTGCAAATCGCTGCTTCTTGGGAGCCTCCCCCTGTCACTCACAAGGCTGAGCCCTTCCTGCTGTGCAGCCTCAGAGAAGTTGCCAGTTCTCCGGTGGCACTGCCTTAATCTGCCCCATTTTGTGTGCTGTGCTGCTCGGAGAATGTTCCTGGGTCATCTTCACATGTGTGTGCACATACGCCCACTCTCACCCCCAAGTCAGCTTTATGTTCATGGCTGCAGAGAAGGAGACTTGGCTGGTTTTCGCAGCGCCCACCTCGAAGCCTGCACACAGTGCCACTGAGTAGCTCCCGTCCTGTTCAGGCTGAGGGAGACTGCCAAGGCTACTGACAGCCGGCCGGAGACAAGAAGACACAGGAACGGTGGCAGGTAACCTGGTGTGAACAAATTACGTTCAGACAAAATACAGAGTAGAGAGTGGAGCAGCCTCTGGAGAGGTGTAGACGAAGTTCTAGAGAATCCTTCCAATTTGGGGTGTAGGAAAAAATAAGGGTGGGCTAGAAGGAGAAGGTGACGTTTCCCTTGGGCTTTGATGAATGGTAGAAGTTGGGGATGTGGGAGAGGATGGGAGTTCCAGATGGGTAGCAAGGGCAAAAGCCCTGAGGTGAGTGACCCCAGGGAGGACACAAGGGAGAAAGAACAAATCCATTCAGTGCCTCATCTGGTGCAGGAAGGGTGCAGCAGGGGAATGAAGTTGGTTAGGTGGGTGGGGTCCAGATGGGGGATGGCAGTGTTTGAACCACAAGACTGGCATTTGAGATCTAGTCTGTGGATAGTAGGGAGTCATAGGAGGTTTTAGAGCAGGGGAGTGGTGCAATCACAAATGGGCTTCAGAAAATATTCAGCTGTAATTCACATGGAAAGTGTATTGGAAACAGAAGAGACTTATGGCAGAGATACCAGTATGAGAGGTCACAACAAAATGAACAAAGTTCTGAAACAACTGCGGCAGCAGTGTGGGAAGGGAAAGAGAGGGTTGTGAGGGCCCTGGGAGGTAGAACGAATGAAATTCCACACAGAGGGCATCAGAGAGGACACCTGGGGAGCTGAGAATAGTAACATTTACTGGATGTTTACAGGCTCCGTGCTGAGCAACGATGCACATCTTAGCCCTAGAGATCCTCACACCCACCCCAGGAAGTGGGCATCCCCATTTTACAGGTGTGGTCACTGAGGCACCAAGAAGTTAAACAACTTGCCACACACACACACAGCTGGCAAGTGGCAGCGCTGGGGAGTTGAACCAGACCATCGTGGCCACAGCTCACACCCCTCATCACAAGACTGGGCTGAATCACAGAATTCCAGCAGGTTATGGCAGAAAAGCAGGAAGAGCCTAAGAAGGTGCCTGCCGAGAAAGCACTGGAGAGCAAGATGGAGACAATGGCGAGGGGGGGGTGTCCAGGGGCAAAGGGGGAGGAGGGTCTCAGAAGGGAGCACTCCTCACTGACCACTCACTCTGTGCTGCAGCCAAGCCAAGTACTTTTTTTAAATTAAGTTTTTAATTTTAATTCCAGTATAATTAATGTGCAGTGTTACATTTGTTTCAGGTGTGCAATATAGTCATTCAACGGTCCTATACCTTACTCAGTGCTCATCATGATGAGTATACTCTTAATCCCCTTCACCTATTTCAACTAACCCCCCCCCCTCCACCTCCCCTTTGGTAACCATCAGTTTGTTCTCTATATTTGTGAGTCTGTTTCTTGGTTTGTCTCTTCCTCGCTTTTTTTTCCCCCTTTGCTCATTTGTTTTCTTTCTTAAATTCCACATGAGTGAGATCATATGGTATTTGTCTTTCTCTGACTTATTTCTCTTAGCACCATACTCTCTAGCTCCATCCATGTCATTGCAGATGGCAAGATTTCATTCTTTTTTATAGGTGAGTAGTATCCCATTGTGTGTGTGTGTGTGTATATATATATATATATATATATACACACACACCACATGTTCTTTACCGGTTCATCAGTCAACGGACACTTGGGCTACTCCCATAATTTGGCTATTGCAAATAATGCTGCAATAAACACAGTGGTGCATGTATCTCTTCAAATTACTGTTTTTTGTACTTGTTAGGTAAATGCTAGTAGTACAATTCCTGGACAGTAGGGTAGTTCTACTTTTAACTTTTTCAGGAATGCCAGACACTTTGGGAGCACCTAGGGTGGCTCAGTCAGATGAGCATCTGACTTCGGCTCAGGTCATGATCTCATGGTTCGTGCCTCACATCTGGCTCACTGCTGTCAGCCTATCAGTGCAGAGCCCGCTTCTGATCCTCTGCCCCTCTCTCTCTCTCTGTCCCTCCCCCCACTTGCACCCTCTCCCTCAAAAAATAAATTAGGGGT